CGCTGATTGGCTAATTATTTTATTCTATTTTTTTATCAAGAGAGGCCAAATGCTTGCTGGCATCATTCAGTAAAATGCTACTGCCGCTACATGTCATACTATTTTGGTCCTGATAGCATCAGATACACAGGCTTTTTTATTTTTTTTATTTAACCAGATAAAGGTTAAATAAATACGCTGGGCCATTTGTGCCCCGCCCTATGGGACTCCCAATCACGGCCGGATTGTGATACAGCCTGGAACTGAACCAGGGTCTGTAGTGACGCCTCTAGCACTGAGATGCAGTGCCTTAGACCACTGCGCCAAGTGTGTAGCCTAGCAGGCTACACGTACTGAGACAGAGGGGCGCTGTTTCCCTCGCTCGGATGATCTCTCCGGTGAGATTCAGCCACTTGCGAATTGACAGAAAATTATGAAAACACAGAGAGAGACGAAAGATAGGTTATTTTAATCATTTAAATGTTTCTATTGGTCAAATATTTGGTGAAGCCTGGCTTCCCTTGGTAACCATGAATACACGCCACTGATAGATAGTGGCTGGGATCTCTGCACTATAGGTTTAGACGTGGAATGTTGATGATGATGATGATGATGATGATGACGATGATGATGATGATGATGATGATGATGATGATGATGATGATGATGACGACGACGACGACGATGACGATGATGATGATGACGATGACGATGATGATGATGATGATGATGATGATGATGATGATGATGATGATGTTGACGATGATGACGATGAGGATGAAACTGAGTGTGAGTCTGTTTGCCTGCCTGTCTGTCTATCTGTCTGTCGTCTGATTTGTAACCAGTCCTATCTCTGATACTGTAGCAGCCTACATGCATTATGGGGACTGTAGTACATCATGGTACAGATATGGATTACCTACATTATGGCTAATACAGTGTACAGTAGTAATAAACTAAAGAAAAAGACAACAACATATCAATGTACGGGCCTTTGTTTGTGTGTGTGTTTGTAGTGTGTTGGATAGTGCATGCAGTACATGCCTGTAGCTGCTGAGATACAACAAACATGTTATTATAATGAAACTCTTACAATAAAGATGATCCGTATCACCACAGTTAAGCCTCCATGTTTTATTACTACAAATAGTGTTGTGTTTTTTAAGCTGTAGGATATGCAGATCCTCTGTAGCTCAGCTGGTAGAGCACGGCGCTTGTAACGCCAAGGTAGTGGGTTCGATCCCCGGGACCACCCAAAAACAAAACACATTTTATATATTTATATATATATTTTATATATAACATATTATATTATCATTATATGCCATAATGTAAAGAGGGAACAGATTCATGTAATTAGGTAACAGTATAACGGCTCATCAACCATTAATAGCCAATAAATAATGTAATATACAGTTAAAATGTATATTTTATTCTAAAATGATCTAGTACAGAATTAAATAGATCACTAATCATAATAGATCAGTAATCTAGAACACTAATCATAATAGATCAGTAATCTAGAACACCAATCATAATAGATCAGTAATCTAGAACACTAATCGTAATAGATCAGTAATATAGAACACTAATCATAATAGATCAGTAATCTAGAACACAAATCATAATAGATCAGGAATACAGAACACTAATCATAATAGATCAGTAATATAGAACACTAATCATAATAGATCAGTAATATAGAACACTAATCATAATAGATCAGTAATCTAGAACACTAATCATAATAGATCAGGAATATAGAACACTAATCATAATAGATCAGTAATATAGAACACTAATCATAATAGATCAGTAATATAGAACACTAATCATAATAGATCAGTAATATAGAACACTAATCATAATAGATCAGTAATCTAGAACACTAATCATAATAGATCAGTAATATAGAACACTATTCATAATAGATCAGTAATATAGAACACTAATCATAATAGATCAGTAATATAGAACACTAATCATAATAGATCAGTAATATAGAACACTAATCATAATAGATCAGTAATCTAGAACACTAATCATAATAGATCAGTAATATAGAACACTAATCATAATAGATCAGTAATATAGAACACTAATCATAATAGATCAGTAATCTAGAACACTAATCATAATAGATCAGTAATATAGAACACTAATCATAATAGATCAGTAATATAGAACACTAATCATAATAGATCAGTAATCTAGAACACTAATCATAATAGATCAGTAATATAGAACACTAATCATAATAGATCAGTAATCTACAACACTAATCATAATAGATCAGTAATATAGAACACTAATCATAATAGATCAGTAATCTAGAACACTAATCATAATAGATCAGTAATATAGAACACTAATCGTAATAGATCAGGAATCTAGAACACTAATCATAATAGATCAGTAATATAGAACACTAATCATAATAGATCAGTAATCTAGAACACTAATCATAATAGATCAGGAATATAGAACACTAATCATAGTAGATCAGTAATATAGAACACTAATCATAATAGATCAGTAATATAGAACACTAATCATAATAGATCAGGAATATAGAACACTAATCATAATAGATCAGGAATCTAGAACACTAATCATAATAGATCAGTAATATAGAACACTAATCATAATAGATCAATAATCTAGAACACTAATCATAATAGATCAGTAATGTAGAACACTAATCATAGTAGATCAGTAATATAGAACACTAATCATAATAGATCAGTAATCTAGAACACTAATCATAATAGATCAGTAATGTAGAACACTAATCATAATAGATCAGTAATGTAGAACACTAATCATAATAGATCAGTAATATAGAACACGAATCATAATAGATCAGTAATCTAGAACACGAATCATAATAGATCAGGAATATAGAACACTAATCATAATAGATCAGTAATCTAGAACACTAATCATAATAGATCAGTAATGTAGAACACTAATCATAATAGATCAGTAATGTAGAACACTAATCATAATAGATCAGTAATATAGAACACTAATCATAATAGATCAGTAATCTAGAACACTAATCATAATAGATCAGTAATATAGAACACTAATCATAATAGATCAGTAATCTAGAACACTAATCATAATAGATCAGGAATATAGAACACTAATCATAATAGATCAGTAATATAGAACACTAATCATAATAGATCAGTAATCTAGAACACTAATCATAATAGATCAGGAATATAGAACACTAATCATAATAGATCAGTAATATAGAACACTAATCATAATAGATCAGTAATATAGAACACTAATCATAATAGATCAGTAATATAGAACACTAATCATAATAGATCAGTAATCTAGAGCACTAATCATAATAGATCAGTAATATAGAACACTAATCATAATAGATCAGGAATCTAGAACACTAATCATAAAAGATTACTAGTCTCATTATGGACCCATATATAGCTCTGGTCTAGATATACTAGTCTCATTATGGACCCATATATAGCTCTGGTCTAGATATACTAGTCTCATTATGGACCCATATATAGCTCTGGTCTAGATATACTAGTCTCATTATAATAATAATAATAATATGCAATTTAGCAGACGCTTTTATCCAAAGCGACTTACAGTCATGCGTGCATACATTTTTGTGTATGGGTGGTCCCGGGGATCGAACCCACTACCTTGGCGTTACAAGCGCTGTGCTCTACCAGCTGAGCTACAGAGGACCACATCAGTAGACGACGTGAGACACATTTGTCAGAAGTACCGAAAGTAACAAAAATTCTAGTACCGAACCGTTTTTTCAGTTTCTAGTATCGAAAAAGTAATGACGTTTTTCGGTAAACCGTGCAATGCCGCAAGGGACAGAAACTGAGCATTAATTATTTTCCACCAGTGGCGGTCGGTGCCGTTTAAGACGAGGGAGGACGATTATTATTTTTTATTAACATAGCCTTATTTCTATTACAACATATTGGATGACTGTCATCAATATAGAACACTAATTATAATAGATCATAATAGTCTCATTATGGACCCATATATAGTTCTGGTCTAGATATACTAGTCTCATTATGGACCTATATACAGCTTTGGTCTAGATATACTAGTCTCATTATGGACCCATATATAGCTCTGGTATAGATATACTAGTCTCATTATGGACCCATATATAGCTCTGGTCTAGATATACTAGTCTCATTATGGACCCATATATAGCTCTGGTATAGATATACTAGTCTCATTATGGACCCATATACAGCTCTGGTCTAGATATACTAGTCTCATTATGGACCCATATACAGCTCTGGTCTAGATATACTAGTCTCATTATGGACCCATATATAGCTCTGGTCTAGATATACTAGTCTCATTATGGACCCATATACAGCTCTGGTCTAGATATACTAGTCTCATTATGGACCAATATATAGCTCTGGTCTAGATATACTAGTCTCATTATGGACCCATATACAGCTCTGGTCTAGATATACTAGTCTCATTATGGACCCATATACAGCTCTGGTCTAGATATACTAGTCTCATTATGGACCTATATACAGCTCTGGTCTAGATATACTAGTCTCATTATGGACCAATATATAGCTCTGGTCTAGATATACTAGTCTCATTATGGACCCATATATAGCTCTGGTCTAGATATACTAGTCTCATTATGGACCCATATACAGCTCTGGTCTAGATATACTAGTCTCACTATGGACCCATATATACTCTGGTCTAGATATACTAGTCTCATTATGGACCTATATACAGCTCTGGTCTAGATATACTAGTCTCATTATGGACCTATATACAGCTCTGGTCTAGATATACTAGTCTCATTATGGACCCATATACAGCTCTGGTCTATATATACTAGTCTCATTATGGACCAATATATAGCTCTGGTCTAGATATACTAGTCGGCCAGCCAGCCAGCCAGCCAGCCAGGTGACTACAGGAGAGGGGTATGACCTCAGCCAAGCTGGGCAAAGATCAACCATTCAGCTGATGTAAGAGAGGGACACAGTTCACACAAACTGCCACACACACACACACACACCAGCGAGACACTCAGTGACACTGCTTCTCCCTGAGGATCACTCCCTGGAGCCTGTCTGTGTTAGAGGATACCTGAACCTGAGACCAGAACACTGTGAGTAACCTACAATGTGATTAACATTGAACCCTATGTAATGCATGTTATTTACAGTATCTATAACTATATTTATTTGGCTGTGACCCCAATGTATATTATTATTTACAGTATCTTTATATATTGCTCTGGTGGAACCCTGCTTGGGTTTTAGCTCGATCAGAGCGATCAGAGATGACCTTAGAGATCACAGAGATTAGATATGACCTTAGAGATCAGAGATGACCTCAGAGATCACAGAGATCAGAGATGACCTTAGAGATCAGAGATTGCTTTAGAGATCACAGAGATCAGAGATCAATTTACAGATCACAGAGATCAGAGATGAACTTAGAGATCAGAGATGAACATAGAGATCACAGCGATCACAGAGCTCATTCTATATCTGCTATGTGTGTAAAAGGTTCATATGACTGAGAAACAGGTAAACAGGTACACGGTGCTTGTTAATATAAATTGATGAATAATTTATTCATTTACAGCTCTGGTAGATAATCTAATAACATAAACCAATAACAGGATGTAGGCCTAGATGACAGAAAATCACAACATGCAGTACTATATGGTGGGGGACGGAGATGGTCAAGATCTTAGTGGTATTTGATGGAAGTTGGATTAGCTAGAATTTGATGGAAGTTGGAGTTCAACCAAAGAAGGATGGATGCTACTGTCTAACGACAAATATACCTAAATGTACTCGACTAACCGGTGCCCCCGCACATTGACTCGGTACCGATACCCCCTGTATATAGCCTCGCTATTGTTATTTTTACTGCTGCTCTTTAATTATTTGTTAATTTTATTTTGTATTATTTTATATTGTCTTCTAGTTATTGATTTAAAGAAGACGCAGACGATCAATGTTTCTGCTATGTGTCTTCTAGTTCTGGGAACTGGCCATTGACTCAACTCTGACAGTTCAAGCATAGAATATTCAGAGAAAGAGTTAAACATTCCGCTTCATTTAATTCCCACATGACCATAACATTGTTTCATTGCTGTGTTTTACTTCACTACATTCAATCCGCATAGCTGAAGTTAAGCTTTACAGCGTGATTTAAATGTAAAGGCAATGTTCCCGCGTTAGCGGAGACTGCATTCACGGTAAACGCTGCATATGTCGGCTCAATCGGAAAATACCTTTACATTTCTATCTCGGAATCTGTAACGCTTCAGCAATCCAGATTGAATAGAGCCCTTGGACTTTAATGTCATCAACATTTACAATGTCATATCAGCAGATTCTGTCATTAGTTCAAAATGAAAGAACAGGGAGGGGTAGAGCAACAAATAGAGAGGAGAGAGAGAGAGGGGGAGAGAGACAAATAGAGAGGAGAGAGAGAGAGAGAGAATTGGGGAGAGAGGGAGGGAGAGAAGGAAAACACGAAACACAGGAGAAGATAACCTCTGGTAAACCCTTACACTGATCAAACACTACAGATAAACAAACCTGTGCTACTACATCTAGGGGTGGGTGGCTTGTTTTTGTCCAGTGGGCCATTGGAATAACAACGAACAGGTTGTTCACCATCTCGCTCTTCAAATCAGCTTTCAAATCAGTGACAGACTGATGATTTAAAGCTCCTGTCATCAGCATATCTTTTAGACAGAGCTCATGTGCTATTTACAAATCAAATCCTTCCAAGAAGATACAGTGCAGGGAGTTAATGGGTCAACGGAATGGGAAGGATAAGGAACGCTGAGGTTACTATTGGTCATGACAGACCCTCTGTATCTTTCCCCCGATAGAGACAGAAACACAGAGATAGAGAGAAGGGGGCATAAGTTAAACTGAGGTTACTATTGTTCATGACAGACCCTCTTTATCTTTCTCCCCTACTGTACTGCAGAGGCTAATCATCAGAAGACAGAGCTAATCTACGTACAAGTCCAATCCCCCATAAAGACAGTACAGACAGTATAGGGAGTCAATGGAAAGGGATAAGGAGTACAGTTGTATATTTATTTAACCTTTATTTAACTAGGCATTTTTTAAAACCTTTATTTAACGGTCCCTCTCAATTAGAGACAAACCCTTTGAATCTTTCCTCTACCATGTCTCCTCCTGTACCTTTCTCTTCCATGTCTCCTCCTGTACTTTTCTCTACCATTTTTCCTCCTGTACCTTTCTCTACCATATCTCCTCCTGTACCTTTCTCTACCATGTCTCCTCCTGTACCTTTCTCTACCATGTCTCCTCCTGTACCTTTCTCTACCATGTTTCCTCCTGTACCTTTCTCTACCATGTCTCCTCCTGTACCTTTCTCTACCATGTATCCTCCTGTACCTTTCTCTACCATGTCTCCTCCTGTACCTTTCTCTACCATGTCTCCTCCTGTACCTTTCTCTACCATGTCTCCTCCTGTACCTTCCTCTACCATCTCCTACTGCATGGGGTTTTCAAACTGGGGTCTGAGGCCACCTAAGGGTCCGCGGAGGCACATTTTTGGGGGGATATATTTGTTGTGGAAAAATATTGGTTTAGGATGTTTTTGGTGAAAAATAATTATTTTATGAATATCGCTAGCTACAACAGAATACCGTTGTGGATGCAATTTTTATGTCTCTACATCCAGTATGAAGGAAGTTAGAGGTAGTTTCACAAGCCAACACTTACAAGCGTTAGCGCAATGACTGGAAGTCTACAGGAACAGTTAGCATGCTAGCTGTTCCTGTTCATCCGACTCTGGGGAAGTAGATAAATGGCTTCATTGCCAAAATGTCTAACTATCCCTTTATTATAGAGGAAATTACAATCATTGGAGCTAATTACAGGTTTTTTTTCTGTATAGAAAATTCTTAGACGGCCCGTCTATTTGGTTGTTTTCGGAATGGAAAGACAGTTTCAGTGTCAACTTACGATCAAAACCAGACAGAAAGCATTCAGAAAGTATATTGAACTATATATATATACTGTATGTTTTTTTTATAATACCTTCTTTGAGAACTAACAATCAAATAAAAGATAAACAGTCCCAAAAAAATTACAACATTTTTAAAAAGGCATTCAGAGCACATGCCAATTAGCTGTAAAACTGCAAAATGGTCTCTCAGCTCCATGCCAAATTAGCACCCCCCCAAAAAAATTTGCAGCTCAATGGGAAAATGTGTAGAATAGCTTTACAACAGCAGAAGAAATTCAGCTGCCAAGATACCTTTCTAGCTAATAGACTATGTTCGAGCTTACACTTCCTCGTCCAATGAACAGTGAGGAGGTCAAAATAATGAAACTGTCTACAAAATCTATTCATTTTAAAACGTTGATTACTACAGCATAGAACTGCTAGATAGAATCCCATAGGAGGTTTCTCTATACCTTCATAAAGACAGCCAACGTCTCTTCCTGGTTATTTGTGCTTTAGATAAGTGCTATAACGTTTTATTTTCACACGATCCGGGGCTACATGTACAAGGGTGTTTATGTGTGTGTATTGCGCTTTAAAAGCTACAGAGATTATAGTCAACGGGTCTGTAGAGGTGCTGTCTTCGTCCATAGAAATATTCTATTCTATTCTAGTTCTACTTCATTCTATGTCTTTCTCCTTCAGGTTCCTCCAGCAGAACCCCTCCCTTCATCTGGACCCGGAGGTGCCATGGCAGACCTAGAAACAGACAGCAACAGACTTGGAGGCACAATGGCCACAGAGACAGCCACCAGATTGGTGCACCGAAACATGAATAACACCAAGGCTGTGGAGGGCAACAGCGCTCTCTCCAGTGGAGAGGTCACTAACCATGGTGAGGAGTTAGTCGACACAGAGCAATAACAGAAGCAACAAAATATCCTCCACATCATCATCATCCTCCTCATCATCACAGATTGATCATATCCTGTATGTAATAGATATGACAGCAGGCTAGCTACCATAACTGATGTTGTTTATTTCTGTGTGCAGTGGAGAAGCATGCTGAGGATTTGATACGGTGGAAGAAGCATGTGGAGGTATGTACCCTGATGTCTCTATTGCACCTGGATGTCACTTACCAAGCAAAGCAAAGTACGCTGTCTATATGTGCCAACTTATGGTATGTGTGTGTGTGTGCCCTGTGCAGCGAGTGAAGAGTGAGGTGATGGATCAGATGCAGGGGCAGCTCAGTGATCTGCTAGACAAGGCCCTGACTGAATCTGTCCAGACATTCACACAGAACGGGAACCATGGCAACAACCATGTCAACAACAACCATGTCACCAGGGACGGGACAGTCACCACCACTAACAACAACCCGCACAGGTTAGGACCTATGGCTTTGATAATACTATACTGCACTATACTGCACTATACTGTACTATACTATACTATACTATACTATACTATACTATACTATACTATACTGTACTGTACTGTACTATTCTGTACTGTACTGTACTGTACTGTACTGTACTGTACTGTACTGTACTGTACTATTCTGTACTGTACTATACTATACTATACTATACTATACTATACTATACTATAATATACTGTACTGTACTATTCTGTACTATACTATACTATACTGTACTGTACTGTACTGTACTGTACTGTACTGTACTATACTATACTGTACTATACTATACTGTACTGTACTGTACTATTCTGTACTGTACTATAATGTAGTGTACTATACTATACTATACTATACTGTAGTGTACTGTACTATACTATATGTATGACAACACCCAGTCTAGGACCTATGTGTGAGGTAGGGCCCAGTCTTTCCTGGTCAAGAGATGGTCGGTAAAAACACCCTAGCTACTGTTTGGTTGTGGTGTAGATGTTTGTGTGAAAGTGAATAGCTGTCTATCTTCTCATGCTGATTTCTACTTCTGTATTCATTTCAGAACCCACACGGAAAAGGATGGAAAAGTATTTATGGACAGACGGTCCATTCTAGAGTTAGTTCATTTTATTTAGTTGTGTGTGGGAGTGGTCTTAAACTGAACCTGATCCATTAGATGTATTGTATGTATTGTATGTATTTATTTACATCACGTATTTACATATTAATCAACTTAACCTTGTCATTGTGGATTAGTTTATTGTACCTAGAGTTTAAGCTTACCTAGAGTGTGTACATACACAACTGAATAAATCCTTTTAAATGCTTGCGCTATCATGCAACATCATTGGATCATGCCGACGTGTCCTGTGGACAGACAGTACATCCTCTCTAGTGGAATGTGTATAAAACATTAATTTCATGTCTAGTGTTTGTTTGTTTGAGCTGTTTGAGATGAACCCCATCAGAATAATGTACTACTGTATATGATAGATAGATGAATCATGTGTGTGTTCCTCCACAGTGAGCTGTTTGAGATCAACCACATCCGGACCATCTACCACATGTTCATCTCCGTGCTCTTCCTATTCATCATCAGTACACTGACTGTGGACTACATCGACCAGGGCAGGTGTGTGTGGAAATAACGTCATGCTGCTTGCTTAGCGAGTAGCGCTTCCTCCTGATTCGACTGACGCTGAGGCTTGAACACAGGACCGGTGCTTTGCACACGTGACCGCCCTCCCGAAGCGTTTTAACAGTCACGTCACGCAAAAAGCTAGCTATTCGGTTGCGCAATCAGGGACACATCAGACTAAGGAGTAAGTTTCACACATCCCCAGGTGTTACAGGTGTTACAGGTGTTAGAGGTGCTACAGGTGTTACAGGTGTTAGAGGTGCTACAGCTGTTACAGGTGTTAGAGGTTCTACAGGTGTTACAGGTGTTAGAGGTGCTACAGGTGTTACAGGTGCTACAGGTGCTACAGGTGCTACAGGTGTTACAGGTGCTACAGGTGTTACAGGTGCTACAGGTGTTACAGGTGCTACAGGTGTTACAGGTGTTACAGGTGTTAAATGTGTTAGAGGTGCTACAGGTGCTACAGGTGTTACAGGTGATACAGGTGTTACAGGTGTTACAGGTGTTAGAGGTGCTACAGGTGTTACAGGTGCTACAGGTGTTACAGGTGCTACAGGTGTTACAGGTGCTACAGGTGTTACAGGTGTTACAGGTGTTAGAGGTGCTACAGGTGTTACAGGTGCTACAGGTGCTACAGGTGCTACAGGTGTTACAGGTGTTAGAGGTGCTACAGGTGTTACAGGTGCTACAGGTGCTACAGGTGCTACAGGTGTTACAGGTGTTACAGGTGCTACAGGTGTTACAGGTGCTACAGGTGTTACAGGTGCTACAGGTGTTACAGGTGCTACAGGTGTTACAGGTGTTAATGTGTTAGAGGTGCTACAGGTGCTACAGGTGTTACAGGTGATACAGGTGTTACAGGTGTTACAGGTGTTAGAGGTGCTACAGGTGTTACAGGTGCTACAGGTATTACAGGTGCTACAGGTGTTACAGGTGCTACAGGTGTTACAGGTGTTACAGGTGTTACAGGTGTTACAGGTGTTAGAGGTGCTACAGGTGCTACAGGTGTTACAGGTGCTACAGGTGTTACAGGTGCTACAGGTGTTACAGGTGTTACAGGTGTTAGAGGTGCTACAGGTGCTACAGGTGCCACAGGTGCTACAGGTGGTACAGGTGCTACAGGTGTTACAGGTGCTACAGGTGTTACAGGTGTTACAGGTGTTAAATGTGTTAGAGGTGCTACAGGTGCTACAGGTGTTACAGGTGTTAGAGGTGCTACAGGTGCTACAGGTGCTACAGGTGCTACAGGTGCTACAGGGGTTACAGGTGTTAGAGGTGCTACAGGTGCTACAGGGGTTACAGGTGCTACAGGTGCTACAGGTGTTAGAGGTGCTACAGGTGCTACAGGTGCTACAGGTGTTACAGGTGCTACAGGTGTTACAGGTATTACAGGTGTTACAGGTGTTACAGGTGTTAAAGTGGTTAGAGGTGCTACAGGTGCTACAGGTGTTACAGGTGATACAGGTGTTACAGGTGTTACAGGTGTTAGAGGTGCTACAGGTGTTACAGGTGCTACAGGTATTACAGGTGCTACAGGTGTTACAGGTGCTACAGGTGTTACAGGTGTTACAGGTGTTACAGGTGTAAGGTGTGTTAGAGGTGCTACAGGTGCTACAGGGTTACAGGTGCTACAGGTGTTACAGGTGTACAGGTGTTACAGGTGTTACAGGGTGTTAGAGGTGCTACAGGTGCTACCATGTGCCACAGTGTCTACAGGTGGTTACAGGTGCTACAGTGGTTACAGGTGCTACAGGTGTTAAAGTGTTAAGGTGTAGAGGTGCTACAGGTGCTACAGGTGTTACAGGTGTTAGAGGTGCTACAGGTGTTACAGGTGCTACAGGTGCTACAGGTGCTACAGGGGTTACAGGTGTTAGAGGTGCTACAGGTGCTACAGGGGTTACAGGTGCTACAGGTGCTACAGGTGTTAGAGGTGCTACAGGTGCTACAGGTGCTACATGTGTTACAGGTGTTACAGGTATTACAGGTGCTACAGGGGTTACAGGTGATACAGGTGTTAGAGGTGCTACAGGTGCTACAGGTGTTACAGGTGCTACAGGTGTTACAGGTGCTACAGGTGTTACAGGTGCTACAGGTGTTAGAGGTGCTACAGGTGCTACAGGGGTTACAGGTGTTAGAGGTGCTACAGGTGTTACAGGTGTTACAGGTGTTAGAGGTGCTACAGGTGTTACAGGTGCTACAGGTGTTACAGGTGTTACAGGTGGTACAGGTGGTACAGGTGCTACAGGTGTTAGAGGTGCTACAGGTGTTAGAGGTGCTACAGGTGTTACAGGTGCTACAGGTGTTACAGGTGTTACAGGTGGTACAGGTGTTACAGGTGCTACAGGTGTTAGAGGTGCTACAGGTGTTACAGGTGCTACAGGTGTTACAGGTGTTACAGGTGGTACAGGTGTTACAGGTGCTACAGGTGTTAGAGGTGCTACAGGTGTTACAGGTGCTACAGGTGTTACAGGTGTTACAAGTGTTACAGGTGCTACAGGTGTTACAGGTGTTACAGGTGTTACAGGTGCTACAGGTGCTACAGGTGTTACAGGTGTTACAGGTGTTACAGGTGTTACTTGTGTTACAGGTGTTACAGGTGTTAAATGTGTTAGAGGTGCTACAGGTGTTACAGGTGTTACAGGTGTTACAGGTGCTACAGATTAGAGCCAAGTCCCTGGGTATGGATTAGAGCCAAGGGCCTGGGTACAGATTAGAGCCAAGTCCCTGGGTACAGATTAGAGCCAAGTCCCTGGGTACGGATTAGAGCCAAGTCCCTGGGTATGGATTAGAGCCAAGGGCCTGGGTACAGATTAGAGCCAAGTCCCTGGGTACGGATTAGAGCCAAGGGCCTGGGTACGGATTAGAGCCAAAGGCGTCCGCATACATAGGTTCGGTTTGCTCCTAGCAGAACTCGGCTATGCGAAGCAACCATCTGTGATCGCATACTCCCTAAAGACCTTCGCTTGAAAAACAGCAATATTACTGTTGTTTGTCCCTCTTGAGCCACTGTAGCAACAACATAGCCAGAAACACTTCCTCAAAATAGTCCAAATTAATCTAAGGTAAATCAAGAAATCTGTCAATAGTTCTTAAATTTTTTTGCCGAGGAGGTCTTAGTCTTGCAATTTTACATTTAGCTAATATGTTTGCTGCAGTATTTCTCAAGTAAGAAAATGTGCATAAAAAAATCAAACTTGGCATCTCTCGTGGAATGACAAAAAACACTTAATGTTCCCACTCCTACTAGGAGTAGTACTGTTGACCAATCACTGACAAACGGGCGTAGACTTCGACTACCGAACTTCGACTTGCCTCAAGAAAAAAAAAATTGTGCACAAACAGCCGGAAAAAAACCTGCCAAAGACCAAAACTAACAAAAAAACGTCACTACATTGTGTCTTGATATATGCGCAAACTGTTTCAACTGGGAAGCATATGGTAAGCTTAAGAGTTTACTCAGGTTTTTGAAGCATCCATTCTATTATATTTGCATATATTCTATTCAATTCTATCCCCAGGCTGGTGCTGGAGTTTGACCTGTTGTCCTATGCTTTTGGGAAGCTACATACTGTAGCTTGGTCCTGGCTGTTGATGTTCAGCTACACGTTGGCCGTGCCCTACTATGCCCTGGCTCTCTGGGGGGCTCTCTACCACCGCAGCCCACTACAGGTGGTACTGTCGGTGGGCGCTGGGCTGGTGCTCTCCGCCATGCAGACCGCTGTACTGGGGGTATTCCCTATATACGTGGTCTTTAACTACCAGCTGCCTCCAGCCTCACGATTCATCATCATACTAGAACAGGTATGGATCATATTTTGTTTTATTGTATAGTAAAGTCACCAGTATGAAATACAGAATTACTAGAAGAGGTATGGATGGATCTGTGTACCTACAGTGGTGTGTGGTGGAGATCTGTCTGATAGTGGTGTGTGGTGGAGATCTGTCTGATAGTGGTGTGTGGTGGAGATCTGTCTGATAGTGGTGTGTGGTGGAGATCTGTCTGATAGTGGTGTGTGGTGGGGATCTGTCTGACAGTGGTGTGTGGTGGAGATCTGTCTGATAGTGGTGTGTGGTGGAGATCTGTCTGATAGTGGTGTGTTGTGGAGATCTGTCTGATAGTGGTGTGTGGTGGAGATCTGTCTGATAGTGGTGTGTGGTGGAGATCTGTCTGATAGTGGTGTGTGGTGGGGATCTGTCTGACAGTGGTGTGTGGTGGAGATCTGTCTGATAGTGGTGTGTGGTGGGGATCTGTCTGATAGTGGTGTGTGGTGGAGATCTGTCTGATAGTGGAAAGTTGAGTAAATAAGTAAAGACAATGATGAATATAGACACGAGGAAACAACTTAAAACAAGTAACAACAATATCTCATATTATATGAGTAAAAGTAGGGAACTGGCACATGCTTTTTGAGGCACTGCTGCTTGATGTGGCAGTGTTTGTATTTATCTGGAATGGACACGTCCCATCGCTGCTTGATGTGGCAGTGTTTTGTATTTCTCTGGATTGGACACGTCCCATCGCTGCTTGATGTGGCAGTGTTTGTATTTATCTGGATTGGACACGTCCCATCGCTGCTTGATGTGGCAGTGTTTGTATTTATCTGGACTGGACACGTCCCATCGCTGCTTGATGTGGCACTGTTTGTATTTCTCTGGATTGGACACGTCCCATCGCTGCTTGATGTGGCAGTGTTTATATTTCTCTGGATTGGACACGTCCCATCGCTGCTTGATGTGGCAGTGTTTGTATTTATCTGGATTGGACACGTCCCATCGCTGCTTGATGTGGCAGTGTTTATATTTCTCTGGATTGGACACGTCCCATCGCTGCTTGATGTGGCAGTGTTTATATTTCTCTGGATTGGACACGTCCCATCGCTGCTTGATGTGGCAGTGTTTGTATTTCTCTGGATTGGACACGTCCCATCGCTGCTTGATGTGGCAGTGTTTGTATTTCTCTGGATTGGACACGTCCCATCGCTGCTTGATGTGGCAGTGTTTGTATTTATCTGGACTGGACACGTCCCATCGCTGCTTGATGTGGCAGTGTTTATATTTCTCTGGATTGGACACGTCCCATCGCTGCTTGATGTGGCAGTGTTTATATTTCTCTGGATTGGACACGTCCCATCGCTGCTTGATGTGGCAGTGTTTATATTTCTCTGGATTGGACACGTCCCATCGCTGCTTGATGTGGCAGTGTTTGTATTTCTCTGGACTGGACACGTCCCATCGCTGCTTGATGTGGCAGTGTTTATATTTCTCTGGATTGGACACGTCCCATCGCTGCTTGATGTGGCAGTGTTTATATTTCTCTGGATTGGACACGTCCCATCGCTGCTTGATGTGGCAGTGTTTATATTTCTCTGGATTGGACACGTCCCATCGCTGCTTGATGTGCCAGTGTTTATATTTCTCTGGATTGGACACGTCCCATCGCTGCTCTGCTCCTCTTATCTCCACACTGACACTGTCAATAAAAAAAAGGTTGCTTAATAATTCAGCTGGATGACTAGCTTGGTAATTTGTTATCTTTTTTTATAGAGCACTTTATAGAATTGGCAGGAGAATATATGAGACTTTGGATGCAGCAACCAGACCTGGGTTCAAATACTATTTTAAATCATTTCAAAGACTTTAGCTGAACTGGATTGAGCTTAAGTGGTGCAAAGGAACCAATAGAATAGTTAAAAAAGAGCAAACCTTGCCCATCTGGCACTCCAGGCAGACTAAAGCAAAGGAAGTATTTGAAAGATTTCAAAAACTATTTGAACCCAGGTGTGGCAGTAACTCTCTCAAGGACAATTCTCTTCCAATTGCTTGATTTCTCTAAGGGTGTGGAGGTTAATGTGACAAGTTACAGTTATTCATTGGTCATAATGTCCTTGATTAGTTTTATTGCCATAGTTGGCTCCGTTTTCCTTTTATAATGTTTACATGTTGTCTCTCTCCCCTGTTCAGATCCGTTTCCTGATGAAAAGCTACTCTTTCATCCGAGAGAACGTCCCAGTCGTCCTAAAACACAAGACAAAGGAAGGTAATGTAGTGTAATATAATATAATTTAGGTAATGACACAGAAACTACCACCCAATGACGATTTAATTTCTATTTGAGTCATTCAGTGCATTCAACTGACCATGATGAGTTAAATTGTCATTATAGTGTCAGTGACACTGTACAGTCATCATGTACCAATACCTCAAGACCTTGTCTGAAGCGTTTATTGAGGTGACATATAGAACCTCAGAACCTTGTCTAAAGTTATGTTTATAGAGGTGACATATAGAACCTCAGAACCTTGTCTAAAGTGTTTATAGAGGTGACATATAGAACCTCAGAACCTTGTCTAAGGTTATGTTTATAGAGGTGACATATAGAACCTCAGAACCTTGTCTAAAGTTATGTTTATAGAGGTGACATATAGAACCTCAGAACCTTGTCTAAAGTTATGTTTATAGAGGTGACATATACAGTACTAGTAAAAAGTTCGGACACACCTATTCATTCAAGGGTTTTTCTTTATTTTTTTTACAATTTTCTACCTTGTAGAATAATAGTGAAAACATCAAAACTCATATGGAATCATGTAGTAACCAAAAAAGTGTTAAAAACATCAAAATATATTTTAGATTTTTCAAAGTAGCCACCCTTTGCCTTGATGACAGCTTTGCACACTCTTGGCATTATCTCAACCAGCTTCACCTGGAATGCTTTTCCAACAGTCTTGAAGGTGTTCCCACATATGCTGAGCACTTGCTGGCTGCTTTTCCTTCACTGTGCGGTCCAACTCATCCCAAACCATCTCAATTGGGTTGAGGTCGGGTGATTGTGGAGGCCAGGTCATCTGATGCAGCACTCCATCACTCTCCTTCTTGGTAAAATATCCCTTACACACCCTGGAGGTGTGTTGGGTCATTGTCCTATTGAAAAACAAATGATAGTCCCACTAAGCCCAAACCAGATGGGATGGCATATCACTGCAGAATGCTGTGGTAGCCGTGCTGGTTAAGTGTGCCTTGAATTCTAAATAAATCACAGACAGTGTCACCAGCAAAGCACCCCCACACCATCACACCTCCTCCTCCATGCTTCACGGTGGGAACTACACATGCGTAGATCCTCCGTTCACCGACACTGCGTCTCATAAAGACACGGCGATTGGAACCAAAAATCTCCAATCTGGACTCCAGACCAAAGGACAGATTTCCACCGGTCTAATGTCCATTTCTCGTGTTTCTTGGCCCAAGCAAGTCTCTTCTTATTATTGGTGTCCTTTAGTAGTGGTTTCTTTGCAGCAATTTGACCATGAAGGCCTGATTCACTCAGTCTCATCTGAACAGTTGATGTTGAGATGTGTCTGTTACTTGAACTCTGTGAAGCATTTATTTGGGCTGCAATTTATGAGGCTGGTAACTCTAATGAACTTATCCTTTGCAGCAGAGGTAACTCTGGGTCTTCCTTTCCTGTGCCAGTTTCATCATAGCGCTTGATGATTTTTGTGACTGCACTTGAAGAAACTTTCAAAGTTCTTGAAATGTTCCGTATTGACTGACCTTCATGTCTTAAAGTAATGATGGACTGTCATTTCTCTTTGCTTATTTGAGCTGTTCTTGCCATAATATGGACTTGGTCTTTTACCAAATAGGGCTATCTTACCACCCCTACCTTGTCACAACACAACTGATTGGCTCAAATGCATTAATAAGGAAAGGAATTCCACAAATGAACTTTTAACAAGGCACACCTGTTAATTGAAATGCATTCCAGGTGACTACCTCATGAAGCTGGTTGAGAGAATGCCAAGCGTGTGCAAAGCTGTCATCAAGGCAAAGGGTGGCTAGTTAAAGAATCTCAAATATAGAATATATTTTGATTTGTTTAACACTTTTTTGGTTACTACATGATTCCATATGTGTTTGATGTCTTCACTACTATTCTACAATGTAGAAAATAGTAAAAATTAAGAAAAACCATTGAATGAGTAGGTGTATCCAAACCTTTGACTGGAACCGTACAGTAGAACCTTAGGGCCAGGATTATTTCCTGACCATGTGGCCTGACCAAGATAAACTAGGCCCTATATTGATATGACATCACTGATATTTGACATCACCTCAATAGACAATACTGCTTGACTAATGACATCATTGTGTTTCTCAGGAGAGGGTCCCAGGTTCCCAACGTTCTCCAGCTACCTCTATTTCCTTTTCGCTCCCACCCTCATCTATAGAGAGTCTTACCCCAGAAACCCACACATTAGATGGAACTATGTTGGCATAACCTTCGCTAAGGTACGCTATTTTTCTACTTTTAATCTTAATGATAGATTGTCTGCATTATTAACCAAATAGCGCTGCAGATATACACTTCCTGTTTTAGGCTATTTTAAAATAATCAGTGAACATATTCACCCTAATAATAAATAGTTGATTGGATTTTATACTGTACAGTGTTTTATCCAGAGCCCAAATTGCTTTATATATTAAGGGAGAGACTCCACTTATATGCCCTCTGTTGGTAGAGGTGTTGAATGCAGCCTGTGGCTCAGTATTGTTCCAGGAGCAGGTCATTGACCTACCAGTAGAGTTCAGGTCTCCAAGGTATGCTATAGTTTAACTGTTATCTTTCATCTCATCAGTATGTACAGTATGTTATTGTGTATACTGTGTCCCATTTATTGTCTTTATGATTCTGAACTCTGGACAGATTCCTCTGCCATGGTTAGCCATGGGAATTGGCAAGACCGCACAAAACAGATCTGGTACCAGGCTTGCCATGGCTGACTTTTCCATTTACCCTCAACCTGTATCCCTCCCGTCCTTCACACAGATTCTGGGCTCGCTGTTCTATGGTTACTTTATCCTGGTGAGACTGTGCATCCCTGTCTTCATGAATGACAGCAACACGCCTTTCAGCACCAGAACACTGGTCCTAGCCCTTTTCCATGCTACACTTCCAGGTAATTCATCAGTCAAATGTATATATAAAGCCACATCAGCAGTAGAATGTATTCTAACTGGGAGGTGTGAACTGTAGTGCCCTTATGGTATTTGCACTTTTTTACCTTTATTTAAGGAGGAAAGACCTCATCCAATGTGAACGAATCAGGTTGTAGACCCAGAATGTACTAGACAGAAGGCTTACTGACACAGTTCTAGTTTGTTAGGTTAGAGGTTGAAGGTCAAAGTTTGTTTTTCCAGGTCAAACCTAAATGTATTTGTCACATGCTTCGTGAACAACAGGTCTAGACTAACGGTGAAATATTTACCGACAATGCAGAGAGAAAGAACATAGATAAATAATAGAAAGGTTAAACACTTAATAATAAAAGTGATAATAGATACACAGTGAGTAACGATAACTTGGCTATATACACGGGGTACCAGTACCGAGTCCATGTGCAGGGGTACGAGGTCATTGAGGTAGATATGTACATATAACTAGGAATATAGTGACAGATAGTAAACAGCAGCAGCAGAGTATATGATGAGTCAAAATAATTAGTGCAAAAAGGGTCAATGCAGATAGTTAAATAGTTAACCAAATAGCTAGCCTAACTACATTTTACATTTTAGTCATTTAGCAGAAGCTCTTATCCAGAGCGACTTACAGTTAGTGAGTGCATACATTTTCATACTGGCCTCCCGTGGGAATCGAACCCACAACCCTGGCGTTGCAAGCGTCATGCTCTACCAACTGAGCAACACGGGGGGAACTATTTAGCAGTCTTATGGCTTGGGGGTAGAAGCTGTTCAGGGTCCTGTTGCTTCCAGACTTGGTGCATCGGTACCACTTGCCGTGCAGTAGCAGAGAGAACCGTCTATGACTTGGGTTACTGGAGTCTTTGACAACTTTTAGGGCCTTCTTCTGACACCGCCTGGTATAGAGGTCCTGGATGGCAGGGAGCTCGTCCCCAGTGATGTACTGGGCCGTACGCATTACCCTCTGTAGCACCTTGTGGTCGGATGCCAAGCAGTTGCCATACCAAGCGGTGATGCAACCAGTCAAGATGCTCTCAATGGTGCAGCTGTAGAACTTTTTGAGGATCTGAGGTCCCATGCCAAATCTTTTCAGCCTCCTGAGGTGGAAGAGGCGTTATCGTGCCCGGACCTTAGTGATGTGGACCCAGAGGAACTTGAATCTCTCGACCCGCTCCACTACAACCCCGTCGATGTGAATGGGGCCGTGCTCGGCCCTCTGTTTCCTGTTGTCCATGATCAGCTCCTTTGTCTTGCTGACGTTGAGGGAGAGGTTGTTTTCATGGCACCACACTGCCAGGTCTCTGATCTCCTCCTTATAGGCTGTCTCATTGTCGTTGGTGATCAGGCCTACCGCTGTCATGTCGTTGGCAAACGTAATGATGGTGTTGGAGTCGTGCCTGGCCAAGCAGTTGTGGGTGAACAGGGAGTACAGGAGGGGACTAAGCACACACCCCTGAGGGGCCCCCGTGTTGAGGGTCAGCGAGGCGGATGTGTTGTTGCCTACCCTCGCCACCTGGGGGCGGCCCATCAGGAAGTCCAGGATCCAGTTGCAGAAGGAGGTGTTCAGTCCCAGGGTCCTTAGCGTAGTAATAAGCTTTGTGGGCACTATGGTGTTGAACGCTGAGCTTTAGTCAATGAACAGCATTCTCACATAGGTGTTTCTCTTGTCCAGGTGGGACAGGGCAGTGTGGAGTGCAATTGGTATTGCGTCATCTGTGGATCCAGTGTTTGGGATGATGGTGTTGATGTGAGCCATAACCAGCCTTTCAAAGTATTTAATGGCTACAGATGTGAGTGGTATGAGGCGATAGTCATTTAGACAGGTTACCTTGGTGTTCATGGGCAGAGGGACTATGGTGGTCTGCTTGAAACATCTAGGTATTGCAGACTGGGTCAGGGAGAGGTTGAAAATGTCAGTGCATGCTCTGAGTACGCGTCCTGGTAATCCGTCTGGCCCTGCGGCCTTGTGAATGTTAACCTGTTTAAAGGTCTTACTCACATCGGCTACGGAGAGCGTGAACAGCTGGTGCTCTCATGCATGGTTCAGTGTTGCTTGCCTCGACGCTAGCATAGAAGGCATTTCGTTTGTCTGGTAGACTTGCATCACTGGGCAGCTCGCGGCTGGGTTTCCCTTTGTAATCCATTATAGTTTGCAAGCCCTGCCACATCCGACGAGTGTCATAGCCGGTGTAGTAAGATTCGATATTAGTCCTGTATTGACACTTTGCCTGTTTGATGGTCGTCAGAGGGCGCAGCAGGATTTCTTATAAGCGTCCAGATTAGTTTCCCGCTCCTTGAAAGTGGCAGCTCTAGCCTTTAGCTCAGTGCGGATGTTGCCTGTAATCCATGGCTTCTGGTCGGGACATGTACGTACGGGTCACTGTCGGGATGATGCTGTCGATGCACTTATTAACGAAGTCGGTGACTGATGAGGTAAACTCCTCAATGCCATCGGATGAATCCCAGAACATATTCCAGTCTGTGCTAGCAAAACAGTCCTGTAGCTTACCATCCGCTTCATCAGACCACTTCCGTATTGAGCGCGTCACTGGTACTTCCTGTTTGAGTTTTTGCTTGTAAGCAGGAATCAGGAGGATAGAAGTATGGTCAGATTTGCAAAATGGAGGGCGAGGGAGAGCTTTCTATGTGTTTCTGTGTGTGGAGTAAAGATGATCTATAGTTTTTTCGCCTCTAGTTGCACAGGGGGACATGCTAGTAGAAATTAGGTAAAAGGGATTTCAGTATTTCTGCATTAAAATCACTGGCAACTAGGATCGCCACTTCTGGATGAACATTTTCTTGTTTGCTTATGGCCATATATAGCTCGTTGATTGTGGTCTTAGTGCCAGCATCGGTCTGCGGTGGCAAATAGACAGCTACAAAAACGATAGATTAAAACTCTCTTGGTAGATAGTATGGTCTACAGCTTATCATGAGGTATTCTAACTCAGGCGAGCAGAACCTTGGATATTCGAGATCGAGCATCAGCTGTTGTTAACAAAGAGACACACACCTCCCCCCTTGAGTTTACCCGACGCTGCCGTTCTGTCCTGCCGATGCATAGAAAAACCAGCTAGATGTAAATTATCCATGTCCTTGTTCAGCCACGACTCAGAGAAACATAGGATATTACAGTTATTCAGGTCCCGTTGATAGGATAGTCTCGAATGAAGCTCGTCCAGTTTTTTTCTCCAGTGATTGTACTTTCGCCAGTAGAATGGAGGCTAGAGGCGGTTGTACTTGCCAACGTAGTTTCGTCAGGGTCTTCTATTACACCGCCTTTTTCTTTTTAGAGTCTCTGGGATTAGGGCCTGGTCCGGGGTGAGTCTCTAGGGATTAGGGCCTGGTCCGGGGTGAGTCTCTGGGATTAGGGCCTGGTCCGGGGTGAGTCTCTGGGATTAGGGCCTGGTCCGGGGTGAGTCTCTGGGATTAGGGCCTGGTCCGGGGTGAGTCTCTGGGATTAGGGCCTGGTCCGGGGTGAGTCTCTGGGATTAGGGCCTGGTCCGGGGTGAGTCTCTGGGATTAGGGCCTGGTCCGGGGTGAGTCTCTGGGATTAGGGCCTGGTCCGGGGTGAGTCTCTGGGATTAGGGCCTGGTCCGGGGTGAGTCTCTGGGATTAGGGCCTGGTCCGGTGTGAGCAGTATGTCCTGCGCCTCCGACTCGTTGAAGTAGACATTTTCATCCTAATCTCCCCATCCTCCCTCTCCCCCATCCTCCCTCTCCCCCTTCTCCTCCCTCTCTCCCCCCTCCTCTCCCCCACTGTTCTGATGTCCAGAAGCTCTTTTCGGTAATAGGATCATCAGCGCAAAAAAACCACACAAAATAGCAGAATTGTTCAGGAGCCCGTAAAACGGCTGCTATACATTGATCATATAGATCTACAGGTGATCCATTTACTATGAATGACAGGGAGGGTGTCTCCCAGAGAGATAAAACACTGTTCTATATCTATGATGTCTCCAGTCTATTCCCTAATATGTGATAGGAACTAGCATTACAATGAGATAACAGCACAATGCAAATAGCATTAATACAACCTCTGAGTTTATGGTTGTGTTGTGACCTGATGTGTCAGTAGGTTGTCGTGTTTCTTACTGTGAGGTAAGTAGACAAGTCAGATAAATTGTTGGGTTACTTGAGTGCGTTCTGATAGGGGGTGGTAAATCTCTTTCTCTCTCTCCCCCTCCTCTCCCCATCCTCCATCTCCCCTTTCTTCTCCCTCTCTCCCCCCTCTCCTCCCAGGTATGTTGATGCTACTGCTGGCGTTCTATGCCTTCCTCCACTGCTGGCTAAACGCCTTCGCTGAGATGCTACGCTTTGCAGACAGGATGTTCTATAAGGTATAACTTATTGTTTTCACACACTCTCACACACACACACACACACACATACACACAAACACAAACACACACACAGGAACACACACACACACATAGTCTACATGTAATACCTCTGTAAGACACTGTTTATTGGTTATAATCAGACCAATCGCGTAGAAAAAAGGTGTTTAAAATGGCGTAGAACCAAATCAAAAAAAATGTTCATTAATTTGTTCTGCAGGACTGGTGGAACTCGACGTCGTTTGCCAATTACTACAGGACCTGGAACGTGGTGGTTCATGACTGGCTTTACTACTACGGATACAGAGATTTTCTCTGGGTAACTATCTCCCTAAATCTCTCCCTAAACATAGCCCCAAATCTCATACAGACCCACTGTAGCCAAGTTCCTGGGTTAGCGTCAAAAACAGAATATTCAAGAGATAAAAAAAATCCAGAGATGAAATGGGATTGACCGTCCACAACCCTGTTAAACCCTGCTTGTAAAAAAGAGCTGACCTACTCTAACACTTAAAAGGCTTAAAAAAAAACGAGAACTGTGATGAAAAGGTTCAAAATGACTTAAAACTGCAGAGCAAATAAAGCCATTGGCAGTATAAACATCACCTTGCTTGGAGAACTCCCCAGATACAGTTGACACACATGTTAAAAAAGTCCCTTCAATTAGGTAAAAGCATGTGCAACTGTGTCAAAATGAACAACCAATGAGCAATGGTGGAAAAAGTACCCAATTGTCATACTTGAGTAAAAGTAAAGATACCTTAATAGAAAATGACTCACGCAAAAGTGAAAGTCACCCAATAAAATACTGCTTGAGTAAAAGTCTAAAAGTATTTGGTTTTAAATATACTTAAGTGTCAAAAGTAAATGTAATTGCAAAAATATACATTAGTATCAAAAGTAAAAGTATATAAATAATTTCAAATTGCTTATATTAAGCAAACCAGACGGCACAATTTTCTTGTTTTTGTTAATTTACGGATAGCCAGGGGCACACTCCAAAACTCAGACATCATTTATAAACTATGCATTTGTGTTTAGTGAGTCCACCAGATCAGAGGCAGTAGGGATGACCAGGGATGTTCTCTTGATAAGTGCATGAATTTGACAATTTTCCTGTCCTGCTAAGCATTCAAAATGTAATGAGTACTTTTGGGTGTCAGGGAAAATGTATGGAGTGAAAAGTACATTATTTTCTTTAGGAATGTAGTGAATCAAAAGTAAAAGTTGTAAAAAATTTAAATAGTAAAGTAAAGTACACCCCAAAAAACTACTTAAGTAGTACTTTAAAGTATTTTTACTTAAGTACTTTACAAGACTCCCAATGAGAACACAGTAGCAATTACAAGACAATTAGCAGTTGGGTGTGTGCAATTGGAAATTAGCGCAGGCACAGATGATCCACTTTACGTATTGACCAGATACTCTAGTGGCCGCTCTAAAAAATGAAAATAAATGTTTTAAAAAATGGAAGGCAGTCGGGAGAAGGCAAGATCAGGTGGGACCATTCTGGCCAATGAGAGGGCAGATACGTGTGTAAACGTATCTCTCACGTCACCCCACTCCTCCGTACACTCCACTGGCTTCCAGTTGAAGCTCGCATCTGCTACAAGACCATGGTGCTTGCCTACGGAGCTGTGAGGGGAACGGCACCTCCTTACCTTCAGGCTCTGATCAGTCCCTACACCCAAACAAGGGCATTGCGTTCTTCCACCTCTGGCCTGCTGGTCCCCCTACCTCTGCGGAAGCACAGTTCCCGCTCAGCCCAATCAAAACTGTTCGCTGCTCTGGCACCCCAATGGTGAAACAAGCTCCCTCACGACGCCAGGACAGCGGAGTCACTGACCACCTTCCGGAGACACTTGAAACCCTACCTCTTTAAGGAATACCTGGGATAGTATAAAAGTAATCCTTCTACCCCCCACCCCCACCCCCACAAAAAATACAAAAATAAATAAGGTTTTAATTAAGGATAGGGTTAGACATAAGGTTAGCAGTGTGGTTAAGGTTAGGATTAGGCATAAGGTTAGCAGTGTGGTTAAGGTTAGGTTTAAAATCACATTTTAAGAAGATACATTGTAGAAATAGACGGGGTTTATGAATTTGTGGCTGTGGTAACTAGTGGCGATTAGGCACACCTCCGATATAAAGTGTTTTTTCTCAACGTTGCCGGGATGTCACGTGTCCTACTTTCATGTATATCAGTACACTCGATTCAACCTAATCATTACGAAACTTCTAAATAAGCCACGTGTAGCAAATAAGCCATTAAATGTTTTGTTAACCAAATTCGACACTCATTGACCTCCATATAAAAACTCCTCACAAAAAAACACCACCTGCTGGAGAAGTCAGATGGGCCCAGTTATCCCTCTTGCTTCACCTCCTCCTCTCTGGCGCAGGCCATGGAATCTTTGAATGGAATGGCAAATTAACAGAAATACAAAGACATTACGTGACTTGCCTCACAGTTAAATAAGTTACTTTAAAATGAGTCTGTACAAGTGAAGGCTTTTTATATGGACGGACAATGTGTCTCAAACGGCACCCTATTTCCTACATCCTGCACTACTTTTTATAAAGGGAATATGGTGTGATTTAGGACACAGGCAGTGTCATGTTCATTGTGTACGTCCACTCATCCCTGTGACCCTGTCTAACCCCTAACCTTTGACCTCTAACCCTCTGACTGTAGCTGTCCAGGAGGAAGTTCCGTACGGCGGCCATGTTGTCAGTGTTCGCCGTGTCGGCCTTGGTCCATGAATATGTCTTCACCCTGGGCTTCGGATTCTTCTACCCCGTAATGTTCTGTCTCTTCGCTTTCTTCGGAGGTGAGCCACACACACACACACACACACACACACACACACAAACACACACGTTCTGCCTCTGCACTGTCATCAGAAGTGATCCAGAGCCATAGACTATATGGTCCAGTTTCCCGGACACAGATTAAGTCTACTCCCTTTAATATGCCTTCAAGAATACCTCTGTGATTATACACTGTACCTGCTCATTATTTGTTTTGACAACAGAAAATGGTTTGAGTCTCTCTCTCTCTCTCTCTCTCTCTCTCTCTCTCTCTCTCTCTCTCTCTCTCTCTCTCTCTCTCAGTGGCGTTCAACTTCACTCTGAACGACAAGAGGCAGAGTCCTGTGTGGAACATCTTGATGTGGACCTGTCTGTTCATTGGCCAAGGGGTCATGGTGTGTCTGTACTGCCAGGAGTGGTACGCCCAGATACACTGTCCTCGCACTGGGGTAGGTATCACCCACAGACAAACATTATATACCATACATACATGTTTACATATATTACGCTGGGTTACGTATCACAGTTAATTGTGATCAGTTCCTCTTGCTGCAGGATTAGAAAACACTGCAGTACCCAGTACAACGTTATGACAGCACTGCAACACTGCAGTACCCAGTACAACGTTATGACAGCACTGCAACACTGCAGTACCCAGTACAACGTTATGACAGCACTGCAACACTGCAGTACCCAGTACAACGTTATGACAGCACTGCAACACTGCAGTACCCAGTACAACGTTATGACAGCACTGCAACACTGCAGTACCCAGTACAACGTTATGACAGCACTGCAACACTGCAGTACCCAGTACAACGTTATGACAGCACTGCAACACTGCAGTACCCAGTACAACGTTATGACAGCACTGCAACACTGCAGTACCCAGTACAACGTTATGACAGCACTGCAACACTGCAGTACCCAGTACAACGTTATGACAGCACTGCAACACTGCAGTACCCAGTACAACGTTATGACAGCACTGCAACACTGCAGTACCCAGTACAACGTTATGACAGCACTGCAACACTGCAGTACCCAGTACAACGTTATGACAGTGCTGTCAGTCCTCGTAAACCACATTAATCTGACTGTGGCACAAATACACAAATCTCTGTTTCAGTCTCTCTCTGTTTCAGTCTCTCTCTGTTTCAGTCTCAGTCTCTCTCTGTCCTCATCACTTTCACACTAGTCTCACATGCAAGCAAACACCCACACACACACACACACACACACACACACACACACACACACACACACACACACCCAACAGGTCACACGTGTTAGCGTGTGGACATGGATTCTTTCGAAAGTCTGAAGATGGGGTCGTGACAGGGGATTACCATCATTAATTCACCAGATGTGGGGTCCTTGGGTTGGTATGCCAGATGGTCAGATACTTCTTACAGCACAGCACTGTACTCCGTTAAGGCTCAGCACCCAACTAAGGCACGCTCCAAAGCCCACTGGGACTTCATTCGCAGTGTCACACAATGGTTTACATACAAATACATGAATATAAAAATAGAAACAGAGCTGTAAAAATATATAAAAAAACTGACAAACTGCAGGGATATGAAGTTAATTGTTACACTCGTCTCCCGAGTGGCGCAGTGGTCTAAGGCACTGGCTGTGCCACTAGAGATCCTGGTTCGAATCCAGGCTCTGCTGTAGCCGGCCGCAACCGGGAGACCAATGGGGCGGCGCACAATTGGCCCAGCGTCGTCCAGGGTAGGTGAGGGAATGGCCGGCAGGGAGGTAGCTCAGTTGGTAGAGCATGGTGTTTGCAACGCCAGGGTTGTGGGTTTGATTCCCACGGGGGGCCAGTATGAAAAAATAAAAAAGAATAATGTATGCACTAACTGTAAGTCGCTCTGGATAAGAGCGTCTGCTAAATGACGTCAATGTAAATGTAAACAACAGGCTGTCGGAGATTAGAACCCTTTCCTGCAGTCAAATGACCTCATGGGTGGAATGTTATTCATATATTTTTTCTAATTTCAGAATGAATACACTTTTTTTAATTTTTTTTACAGCAAAAAATCTGATGTTTCTATGTCAAACGGTTTTGTTATAATTCTGTCTTCTGTGATGTATGTAAAGTGTAATATTGGGATGCAAACTCATAATTGAATACATTTCAACTCTATATCTGACATGGTACAGGTGTCTTCTTTTTTTAAAGCCTATAACCATGTGTGTGAGGTGTATACTTTAGTTTCAGAGTAAATTTGTTAAAGACTACCAAGAAACACTGCAGTAAATTAAAACCACAAAAACAGTTACAGTGCTTTACAAACAGGTGACAATGCTTTTCTAAAACGGTGTGTGTATGTGTGTGATCTCTCCCAAACAGGCTAGCTTCTGGGAGTTGGTGACACCAAGATCCTGGTCCTGCAGTAACCAGGAGACGGCAGGAGGCGGCAGGTAGCTTAGTGGTTAAGAGGCGTTGTGCCAGTAACCGAAAGGTCGCTGGTTCTAATCCCCGAGCCAACTAGGTGAAAAATCTGTCGATGTGCCCTTGAGCAAGGCACTTAACCCTAATTGCTCATGTAAGTCGCTCTGGATAAGAGCGTCTGCTAAATGACTAAAATGTAATGTAAATGTAGCCAGGTCTGAGACCACACCATGGAACCGACCTGCTTAATCCATGGATTGAGACATGGGGCTGTGTCTCAAATAGTAATCCCAGCTGTTCAACCCTCCACTTTGAACTTGGTGTCAAGGGGGGGGGGGGGTCGTCAAACCCAGCTGTAAACCTTGCCTTTGACCCTTGGCTAAAACAGAGGCCTTTTGAGAGTGTGATTCGTTGATAGAATCCTGGAAGGAAACAATATCTAATGTGGAATATAAACAGAAGCTTTAGTAGTAGAAGACGTGTGTGTACTGTGTGGATGGAACATGTTATGTATGGATTGTGTATCTATGGATGTGTTTAACTATACTTGTGGGGACCAGAAGTCCCCACAAGAATAGTAAACAAACAAACATTTGACCAAATGGGGACATTTTTTGTTGGTCCCCACAAGGTCAAATGCTATTTCTAAGGGGGTTTATGGTTAAGGTTAGAATTAGTGTTAGGGTTAGAATGAGGTTAAGGTTAGGGTTAGGAGCTAGGGTTAGTTTTAGGGTTAGGAGCTAGGGTTAGGTTTAGGGTAAGAGTTAAGGTTCGGTTTTCGGGTTAAGGTTAGGGTAAGGGTTAGGGAAAATAGGATTTTGAATGGGACTGAATTGTGTCCCCCCACAAGGTCAGTTATACAAGACTGTGTGAACTGAAATGGCATGGGCAGCATTCTGTATTATCTAGGTGTCAAGACTTCCAAGCCAAGGGACGCAATTTTTAACAAATTGTAATGTTCTATTGTTTAAATTCGGACATTCTCCACTGAGTTTTATTGTTTTGTAAATTCAAGATAATTTGTCAATTGTGAAGACATTTGTAAATTAATGCAAAACAAAATCATATCACATTTGCAAGTATGCTTCAAATGTTTGATTTTCTTTATTACGATACTGTATTAACACTTTTTTTGTTTTTACACTTTCTAAAGATGTCTCAATAAAATATGGTTATAGATATGAAGCAAGAATACCATTTCACTGCAGAGAAACTCTAATCTGCACTAACAATGACAGGAACCAAGGGAAACAAGGACTACAGTGGTGATATGGGGATTTATTGACCTAACTGGTGAAACATCTACTCCACATCACTGTCCTCATCTCCTCCACCTAGGAATATCTGATCCAGCACTCCAGTCATCCTATGATAGAGCAACATGTACTGTATTTATTTACCCTACGTGCCCTGGTGTTGTTTAGTACTGGGCTAGAATAACAGCCGCCCTAAACCCAATGAAGCAGTCCCCAGGGCCAGGGGTGAAGAGCATTGTCTGCAATTTTGGACGTTGTGGCATGGCAGCATGCCATGCAGTGTGTTTCCCAAAGAAAGACACCTCTATATATAGTAATTCTGGTTCAAATCCGTGGCACAAAACAGTCCACCATCTTACCTAGCGTGCAGGGTGCGCATTGCGTTGACCGTTCCTCGGTTGACGTCCATCTCCAGCAGGCGTGGGATACAGCAGACGTTAGAGGGTCCGGCTGGGATCTTCCTGGCCAGCCACATGCAGTGCATAGTCTTGTCTGCCTGCCACAGAGTCTTGTCTGCCTGCCACAGAGTCTTCATATTGCCCTGTTCTTTTTCCCTGTGACGCACACACACACACACACACACACACACACACAGAGAGACAGGAAGCAGAGGATTACATGGTGCTCTGTGTGGAATGTTCTGCTGACAGTGTTAGCAGCAGATGTGGTTGGGGGATACAGGGCTAGGTGAGTTAGGAGATGATGTGGTTGGGGGATACAGGGCTAGGTGTTTTAGGAGATGATGCAGGTGGTTGTCTTGGCACATGATTGAGAAAGTTAACTCTTAGTTTCTGCCTCATGATGTAACTGATATTGGGAGAAATTATTATTGGAGGATTCTATCTAGAGATTGAAAACTTTGAAGACGTGCAATAATTACTCTTAGTTTAGAAAAGTTCAATTTACTTCAAGATAAACCAAAAAGTAAACACAAGCACTGAGCTAAATTATGTGATGTGGTGTGTTTGCGTGTAACCTACCTGTGGACACTGCTCCATGGGTATGGCTCAGGTAAAGGTGGGGGTAAGTGTACCAGGGAAGATGGGGGATGGTGTACCAATGATGACGGGTGTAGGTGTGCAGGCGAAGCTAGGTGTGTAGGTGGGTATAGGTGTGTGGATGGCGGGGCTTGGAGTGAATATGGGGCTAGACGTGCCAGTGACAGGGATGACGGAAGATTGGGGCTGGGACCGGGCCTCAGAGACCACTGTAGTTTCGTAGGCACCACCGTCATGATGGGATGGGGCAGCTCCTGGCTGGTGTTGCATGGGACCGGAGTGGCCAAATGCAAGTTGTAGTCCACTCTCAGCTGTAGAGATAGAGTAGAGAAGTGTAGTGTAGAGTAGAGTAGAGTAGAGTAGAGTATAGTCGTGTAGAGTAGAGTAGAGTAGAGTAGAGTAGAGTAGAGTATATTAGTGTAGAGTAGTGTAGTGTAGTGTAGAGTAGAGTAGAGTAGAGTAGAGTAGAGTAGAGTAGAGTAGAGTAGAGTAGTGTAGAGTAGAGTATATTAGTGTAGAGTAGTGTAGTGTAGAGTAGAGTAGAGTAGAGTAGAGTAGAGTAGAGTAGAGTAGAGTAGAGTAGAGTAGAGTAGAGTAGAGTAGAGTAGAGTAGAGTAATAGTGTAGAGTAGAGTAGTGTAGGTAGAGTATATAGTGTGAGTAGAGTGTGTAGAGTGAGTAGTTAGTGTAGTAGGTGGTAGAGTAGAGTCAGTAGTAGTAGATAGGTGAGTAGTGTAGAGTAGTGGTAGAGTAGGTAGTGTAGAGTGAGTCGTGTAGAGTGAGTAGGTAGTAGTCGTGTAGTAGTGTGTAGAGTGAGTGGTCGATGTGAGTCAGAGTCTAGGTAGGTAGTAGATGAGTAGAGTGGTGTGTAGAGTAGAGTAGAGTAGAGTAGAGTATCGCGTGAGAGTAGAGTAGCAGTGAGTGTAGGTAGGTGGTAGTGTATGGAGTAGGTAGGTAGTGTAGATGTCGTGTAGAGTAGAGTAGCGTAGTGTTAGCGTAGAGTAGAGTAGAGTAGAGTAGAGTAGTGTAGGTAGAGTAGAGTAGAGTGGTAGAGTAGAGTGGGCTAGTAGAGTAGAGTAGAGTGGTCAGAGTAGGTAGAGTTAGAGTAGAGTAGAGTATATTAGTGTAGAGTAGAGTAGTGTAGAGTAGAGTATATTAGTGTAGAGTAGAGTAGTGTAGAGTAGAGTATATTAGTGTAGAGTAGAGTAGTGTAGAGTAGAGTATATTAGTGTAGAGTAGAGTAGAGTAGAGTAGTGTAGAGTAGAGTAGAGTAGAGTAGAGTAGTGTAGAGTAGAGTAGAGTAAAGTATATAAAAACTAGATACATATAAATCAAATTCCTGACCTTGGGACAGAATCCAAAAACATTTTAGCTCCTAAAAGTTACTATTTATATTTCTCGATGAACGTCTACCCCTCAACCACACTGACTCCTCCTAACCTGACTGAAGAGGTAGAGCATGTGTGCCAGGCATCTGGTCCGTCTCAGTTCAATGGAAGTTTGCTTCTCAGACCACTGCCTCACCATAGTGGATTGGTGCACGTCCAGTCTTCGCAGGGACTTGTACAAGTCCTTGACCGCCTGTCCATCGCTCATGTCGCGCGCCAAGAGCAGTCTAGCGTTCAGATTGTTTCTGTTTTGTAATAAAGATCATTTGTAGTTAGCATTTAGCTTTGGGGATACCAATTTCAAACAAGTATCATAGATCCCTACAACAGTGGAGGTCAGTG